CGGCTGTGGGCTCTATCCCTGGCCCTGGTCAGGGAGGTGGAGGCAACCAGTTGATGTGTCTCTCTCACATCAGTGTTTCTCTCTCTCTCTCTCCCTCTTCCCCTTCCATTCTCTCTAAAAATCAATGGGAAAATCTCCTTGGGTGACAAAAGAAATAGAAAAAGAAAGGGAGGGAGAGAGAAGAGACAGAGACCTCTCTCCCTCTCTCTGCATGCGCTCGCACGAAAGCCGTGTGGAGACGGGTTGGAGGCAGACTCCTGCCGCCCGGAACAGGGCCTTCGCCGGCACCCAGGCCCTGCTGGGACCTGGCCTTGGACTTTCAGCCTCCAGACTGTGGGAGAAGCACGTGCGCTGTGGCATTTTTTATGGCAGCCCGAGCAGACTGAGTACCTTCTTTGGAATCAAGTGAACTGATGAAGTGAATCAGGAGACTTGGGGAGACTCCCGGCCGCTCAGGGAATGAAGGGGGTGACCGGAGTGCACCTCGGCTGGGCGGTGTCAGTGCCCCCAGCACTGCAGCAGGGTCCCTGCCCTCCGAGCAGCTCCTCGTCCCCACCTGTGCTCCCACAGGCAGGCATCTCTCTCTAGTCCATTGTCCTCGTGGCCCTGGGTGTCCCTCGGGCTCAGGTTCCCGCAGGAGAACGTGCCCAGGAGGGGCTTCCCATCTGGGTGTTGGTACTCGCTGCTCCCTGGCCTGACAGTCAGCCAAGGACGGACACGGCATGGCTGCCTCCCGCTCCCTCCCAGGCCCCTTGCTGGAGCCGTGCACACTGGCAGCGCCTGGCCCCCCATGAGAGCAGTGGAGGTGCCGGGGGACGGCGTCTGACAGATGAGAGTCAGTGTCTCGCTAAGGAAGCTTTCCCGTTGGCTTCCCAAAGCCCCTCTCTGGCCTCTCGTTGCCCTGAGCTCTTGCATGTGCCCCTTCTCCCTTCTCCTGGTCCTTACTTCTGGCTGTTTTCCCTCCTCTGGCCTCCTGAAGGCTTGTCTGTCTTCCTCTTCCGGTCGCACAGCCATGGCCACCTTCCAGGAGAGAGTGCTGCCCTGCCCTGCCTCGTACAGCCATGGCCGCCTTCCCGGGGAGGGTGCCCCACTAGCCGCTGCCTCGGTGGGGAGAAGGGAGGTTCTGCTCTCACGTTGTGGAGCCCCAGCCCTCCTTGGACAGGAATCCCTGTTTCCTCTCCCAGCAGCAGCACAGGCCTTGCGTTTATTTGTAGAACAGCTGACCCTTGAGCTTCACGATCAATGTCACTTTACCCAGCAGATTACCACCACAGACGTTTTCCAAGCTTCCCTTGATATTTTATTCTCTGTCCACAAAGGGACCCTTGGGGGCATCTTCTAATACCTTATAATAATATACCATCAAAACAGTTTACTTACGTATTGCACATAAAATTCCCTGGGAAGGGAGGGGAACCTACCAGGATATTGACTGTAGGACAGAATTTGGGGGGAAGTGGAGGGGAATAAGGAAGAAAAGAAAAAGATAACTTGGGAAAATGTCTTCATTTTAATATATGTATATTAAATATAATTTGCGTTTTTTTAAATATATTTTATTGATATTTTACAGAGAAGAAGGAAGAGAGATAGAGAGTTAGAAACATCGATGAGAGAGAAACATTGATCAGCTGCCTCCTGCACACCTCCTCCTGGGGATGTGCCCGCAACCAAGGCACGCGCCCCTGACCGGAATCGAACCTGGGACCCTTCAGTCCACAGGCCGACTCTCTATCCAATGAGCCAAACCAGTCAGGGCATGATTTGGGTTTTATAAACAATTGAATCCAAATCTGTAAAGCCATAAAAATCAGTTTAGTGTTTGTGGCCACTTTACCTGTTTCCTCCAGGTAGCATGCGGCAGGCGGCAGGTGGGACTTGCTCACACCCTGTCATGGAGGCACATTTACCTGAGATTTAAGTCATAGTCATGGCCTCTCATATTTTATTTGACAAAAAAATAGAAACCACCACAACATTTTAATACTTGCTTTAAACTGATTTGCCCAGCCCTAGCCAGTTTCGCTCAGTGGTTAGAGCACCAGCATGCGGACCAAAGGGTCCCGGGTTCAATTGTGGTCAAGGGCACATACCTTGGTTGCAGACTCTTCCCCAGCCCAGACCCTGGTCGGGGCTCATGCAGGAGGCAAGCAATCGATGTGTTTCTCTAACATCAATGTTTCTTTCTCTGTCCCTCTCTCTTCCCCTCTTCCTAAAAATCGATGGAAAATATCCTTGGGTGAGGATTCACAAAAAAAAATAAAATAAAATAAAATGATTTGCCCACCCAGTGTGACTCGGTGGTTAAGCATCAACTCAGGCACCACATGGTTACTGGTTCAATTCCCCTTAAGGGCATATGCCTGGCTGTGGGTCCAACACCAAGTAGGGGGCGTGCAAGAGGCAGCCAATCAATGTTTCTCTATTCCTCTCCCTCTAAAAGTCAATAAAACATTTTTTTTTTAAGAGTAAAATGTTAAACCTGGGAGGTATTAATTGAATATAACATGTTTGTAGGACAAACCATTACAAGAAAGAATTGCCCAGGAATCTTTACTAGTCCTTATCTGTTACCGTAGATTTGTAAACATCTTGGAGGAGAGGGTTTCTTTCCTAATGTGCCCTGGATTCTTCCCTTCATGCGGAAGCTCTCCCAGGACATGTGTGTCTGTCCTTAGTGTTTCTAACCAGCTGATGACCCAAAGCCTTTTAAAGTAATTTTCCCTGTGAGTGCGTTTTCTAAGTGACAAATCACTCTTATTTTGCTCCATTTTGCTGATAGCAAAGATAACTTTGTTTCCCTTTCCTGTATTGTGGCCTTGCACTCTTCTCTTTGCCCTGCATGTAACAAAAGAGAACGGGAAATCCTGTAGAGAGGACACCCAGTGATCGGACTCGGCTCTGAGTGAGGGTGACGCCTTCCTTCTGCGCATGGGCCGTGAGCTCCGTGGCTCCGTCTGTACCCTGTCGGCCAGCACAGTGTGGAAAGGAAGCTGCTTCGTTGGTTGCCGCCTTGCATCAGGGGCCTTTCCCTGACAGCTTCCAGCTTCTCTCATCAATGCCTGGGCTTCCTCAGCCCGTGGAGAGCAGCTGCCTCTAGACCAGGGGTCGCCAGCCGGTGGTCCGCGGACCACTGGTGGCCCGTGAGGTCCGAAAGGTTGGCAACCGCTGCTCTAGACAGTGCCACACCCCTTACCCCCCTGTCTGGGCCCCCTCTCCCCTGGGGTCCTCCCGGCTTCCTGAGACTGGGCCCTTCTCATCCTGATGACACCGTTGTTTCTCTTAGAACTGAGAAGTAGTTATGCATTTCGTTTCCCTGTTACAAGTAGAAAATAAAGGATCGAGCGGACTACTTTTTAAGATAATGACCCACTGCACTTATTTTTCTTACTCTAGGAGCCTCTGAGTTTATAGACTCAATAGACGAGGAGCCCACTGTGTTCCCCACTGTGGCTACCACTGTCTAGTATAATCGCAGCCTCCTACAGGGCCTGCTTTTGCTAATTCGCTTACAGTGACATAGCAACCAGAAGTATCTGTGCTTCCCCCACAGAAGTTTCCTCAGACGGCCAGTGTTCTCTGCACAGAGATAAGTGCTCAGGAAAGTATAAATGAGGTAGCTGATTGTTGCCAGGAACGTTGTGTGTGCCTACCAGCGGGGCAGAACAGAAGGAGGGCCGCCCGGCCCTGGCAGAGCCCCACTCCAGGCCCCGAGCACTGCAGCAGAGAAGGACCAGCTGCTTTGCTATGAGTGGCCCACCCACCCGGGAGGGCGGGAAGCCGTGCGCAAAAGCCGGCTCCTGATGGTGTGCAGGCTCCAGATGAAATAGGGCAAAAGCACAAGACACTGTGAGGGCTAGGGGTGCCCTGATTTGTTGGACGTGGGGAGAAGTGGGGAGAAAGAGAGGAGGGGGTGTGATTTGTAGAGCTGGGATCTAAAACTAAGTTTAATCAAAGTCATAAGGGCCCCGGGTTTGACCAGGGGAGATTTTTGCCTTCAGGCTTGTTTTTACTCTCACCCACGTACCCTCTCACCTGACCTATGTGACTAGGTAAGTGGGTGTTTCCAAACGCGAATGCCACAGGACAGGCTGGGGCTGTGCTTCAGAGAACCTGATGGTGACGTCATTTGGCCGGAGTGTCAGAAGACAGCAGGGACGATGGTGGCTCCCTGGGCATGCTTGCCCTGTCCCAGGGCCAGCTGACCCTCCGCGGGGCGTTCCCTGAGTAGGGTTTGCAACCAGCTGTTTTCTCATCCTTCCCAGTGTCCCCAGGGCTACGCGTCTCACACCTCTCCTCTTTCTCTCCTGTTTTCCATCAGGTGGCAGCAGACTTCCAAGTCTTCAGGGTTGTCCAGCAGCTTGCAGCCTGCGGGTGCCAAAGCTGATGCCCTCAGGGAAGAAATGGAGGAGGCTGCCAACAGAGTGGAGATTTGCAGGGTACCCCCTCTTTGTTCCTCTCTACTGGGACAGAGGAAGGAGCCCTAAGGGAGTCCCTTTTTGTTCACGGGAGTTCTGTTAAAACCCTAAGTGTGAGCCTCAGCTTGAACTAACTGACCCCAGCTTGCCGGCCAGCGTCTGCAAAGAGCCAGGCATGAATCCTGAGAGCTGGGGCTCTGAGGGTGACATAGACAGGCAGGCAGCAGGAGTGATCATTGGTGTTCCTGTCTGGTAGGCAAAGAGAAAATGACTGTGGTGTCTGCTTAAAGCTTTTGTGAGTCGTGCATCCCAATTCATAGTTTGTAAGCTGCACAGCACAGTTCATCATTTACAGGGGTGGGGAACGTCCAACCCAAGGGCCTGTAAAATCATTTGGTCTGGCCCTGCCAAGGCAGTAGGGGGGAGTTAATTAAATGTTTGATCAAATATAAGAGGCTAATTTTTAAGTTGATAATTTTGTATGGCCCACGAATGATGTTACAAATATCCAAATATACAGATCTGTTAGAATATTTATTTACTTATTTATTTACTTATTTTTACATA